TTCGGAAACGGGGAATCCCCTAAATAGTTTGCTTTTCAGCAAACTTGTGATTTTTGTGAAGCACGTAGCAACTAGAGCAGTGGTAAAATCAGTTTTAGAAACATTAAATCGTGAATCCTGTTTTATTTTGTGATGAAAAATGTTGAACAATAAATCCCTTGATTGAAAAAAAAGAAATATTTTATCGGAGGCTCTGTGATTGCGTCATATAGCTCATTACATTATAAGACTCCTATTGTTCGAGCACAAAAATATAACTCGCACGATATAATTTCTAACCTGAACCTAAACTATCAATCACCTGATTTTACCATTCAAGTAGTTTCCTACAGAACGGGTGAATCGCGCCAAATATATAGCAAGAAACTATATATAGCAAGAAACGATAATCTATTGTAGGTCTCCTGTGTATAGTAAATTAAATACACCTGTCGTTTATCCTCTGACCTCCACATCCCAGTGGTGTGAACAGAAGCAGAAACACGAGTCACTTGATCATGAGTGGCAGCATACAAGGACACCTGACAGTTTTGAATAATGAGTGAGAAATGAAGTCTTCAGTTTCCAAAATATGCCAACAATTATAATCCCTCAGCCGGAAAAATCGCCCACTACTTTCAGTTTCGAGTGATAATTTATTCATTTTCAGTATCGATGCCAGCAAACTAAAAGTTTAACAAGCTACATACCAGACATACATTCATGAGACAAGTCTGAAAAGACCGGAAATCTTGAGCATCATCTGAAGCAGTATGGATGTTTTCTATCGTGAGTATGGATGTTTTCAATCAGAAAATCAGACTTTTTCTCTGGTGAAGCGCGTTGCGTGTACTGATCACGCGAGAGTTTTCTTTGTTCTCGCGTGGGTAGAAAGTCCATTCATGATCTGCATGAAGAGAAATCTGCTGCAATATAAAAGCTGAACATCAGTTTTCTTCAAATTCTTTCAAGCTAATGCAAACTGTCAACCTCGCCAAGGCTTGCACCCGCAAATAAGTCAGCGCTTTTTCAAGTTTCTTTTTGTGCAAGCATATCAAAGAAAATCAAATTCAAAGAAAGCGTCGCTAGCAATAAGTACACTCAGATGAAGAGCTTTTTACTCGCTCAGTTGACCTGTAAGCATTTATCTGTGACTTTTCTAACCGATCAATTTGGATAAAACTATCGCAGTAATTCCAGTAATCTTCTATAAGCTAAAAACTGGATTTGTCGGGGAGGGGGGGGGGGGGNAACTTTATTTTCGAGTTTTGGGAATCACGCCAACAGCATTAGTTTGTAATGTTTTATCTCAAGTGCCAATGCCTGAATCATTAGGGTTTTGCCCGCAAATTACATAATTTCTGTAGCTGGGGAGGGGGGGGGGGGGTTGGGGGTTCGAAAAATGCCTTACTAATTCCGCCAGTTCTTAAAGTTATAATCGCTGTTATCGACAGTACAGTACTATTTCACTTCAGCTTGACCTCGACTAGGAATGGAATTAAAGTTAATATATACAATTATTAACTGATTTATTCTTTTGTACAAATTTACAATATGCATGGTAGATAGGGTTTTCTTTAACTTTTAACTGTTATAACACAGGCGGAATTCTTTTTCATCAGTCCAGTATTTCATGGTTACTTTGCCTGCACAGGAGCAAAGTTTCTTTCAAAGCAATTTTAAAGTGCAAGAAATATCGTTGACATAGTCCAGACATTTACAACGCACGGGACAGCTTAAGTTCAAAAGCTGCCTTGTTGATCAAAGTTCTAACGACAAGGTAGTGACTATGAAGTTTCCACTTGCAGATTGCGTACAGTAAAACATTTCTGCAATTGCAGATATTTTCTCTTGTAAGCCTCCTTTTCTTTCCACACGTTAAGTAGCTTCCATTTTCCGTCTTCCATCTTCTTCTTCAATGAGGTATTTTCGTTGATCAGATCTTCCTGCTCTCGCTGTTTTCGAAGCCGACAGCTTAGGGAGTATCCCCGATTTTTCAGGTTTCGTCGTCGTTTTCTTATCCTTGCTGCTTCTTCCCTTGGAACGCTCCGGAGCAGTTTATTCAGCTCTTGAACCGGAAGGTTTGCAATATCTCGGTCGGTTATTTCTTTCACATCTCTGGTAGTCAGTCCCTCGCCCCATGAACTCGAAGATGTATTTTCATCTTTCGGGTTTGTTACACCATCGAACAGATCTTGAATGTCGCGTTCATCGTTGTTGTCGGCCATCTTGTTGTTGTTCGCGGACAAAATATATTCTTGGGGCCACACAGAGTCAAAAAGAGTAGTTGTCGTTTCACTATCGCGATACAAATCGAGCATATTATTGAAGTCTTCATCCATATCATAAACTTAAGAAAATTTATTCAAAAACTGCAACACTTTTGCTAGAAACACCAAACGAAGGGATGATTCAATACTAGGAAGCAGCCGTCATATGTTTATCACAGCTTCTTTGTGAAACCAATTAAACTCCCTCTTGATAACGCGTATTCTGTGGGGAATCCCCGAACTTTAAAGTTCTGAGTATTCATGTTTCGGTCCAAGAATCGAACAGCTTGCATTAGGGCTATATGGCAATCACTTAAATTGTCCTGGTTGGTTCCTTTAATTTGAATAGTTTATTTAAAGAAAGCCCTTACTTTTCTGTTATATCGATCACATATCGAACGTGTTTCAACGGCTTTTGTTCTGATGCTTTCAAACGTCATTATAGAACATTTTCCGAGATCACCGGTGAGTGACTAATGTTTACCTTCACCGACCGTTTCTATGGTGACAGCCAAATTCAGCATTAAAAGCTCTCTTATTCTTGAAACATTTTCTTTTCCAGAACGTCAATGGACGAGAAGAGTGAAAAGAGCTTTGTATCAAGTCTTGAATAGACTCTTCCAAAGAAGCAATGCTGCAGAACTACATAATATAAACTTGAGTTACCTCCAAACAATTGTTAGATGTACATGCATTGTCTCGGATTGCTACCACTTCCCATACTATTAATAATAATAATTGTTATTATTATTATTAATAATGGGTGTTTATTGCATAGTATGTTTATTTATTTCTATTTAATCTATTTTTTTGCTTTGTTATTTTCTATGTGGACTGAAAAGCCCTGTCAGGGAGTTACAAATAAAGTATGTAATTCTATATTTTTTATATATATTAGTCAGGCGGGTTAGGTAACCTATCATTATCAGAGAGGGAGGTTGATTATGCAAGTGTCATCAGAAATTTTGCCGCATATAAATAAGAGTACATGCTTAATTGTTTGCCCAAAAATGTGAGCACCCGTAAGTAAACCTGGCCTAATATTTGGTTCTGAATTGAACTGAGCCTCTTTAATGGAATTAACAAGCTATAATCAGTAACTGTTCGGGTACATTGGAGCACGAGTAGGTTCTGTGTCAAATTATGATGGTCCGTCTTTTGTTGTTGTTGTCTTTTTCTTTTCCTAATATCTTAGTTTCCAGTAACGGGTGGCTCTTTGCAAAAACCTTGATTGTTTCTTAGTGATTCAACTAATTATTAGGCTTAAAAATGTCTCTAAGAGGTTCAAAGATACTGTTTCGCGGGCGTGCGTTGAAATCCCCCCTCCCCCCCCCC